CACGGAGATCTGGGTGTCAGTTTAAGTCAGTTTATTAAGGGAATGAGGCTTTCGCCCTTGAGCACCCTATTCATGTCGATAAACAGAAATAAAGTCATCAATTACATCAGCAAATGCGAAAAGTTAAGAAGTTAGCGGTAAGTGTGAGCCAGGCGCAAACTGCCGCCGCTAAAACAATCATGATTGTATGTACAGTAGGTTCTCAACAAGTGAGCGTCTAGTCTGCACTTAAAGGATTTAACACTTTCGGAAAGAACGACGGCATCAGGGAGTCCATTCCATGCTCCGATGACCCTGTATGAGAAGGCGTTCCGTCGGACGTCCGAATGAGCCCGCTTCCTTTGCAGTTTGAACGGATGACCACGCAGACGGTCAGTCCGGGCCAATTCAAAGAATTCATCAAAATCTAGGGCGCACTCTCGGCTTCTGACAATCCTGTAGGTTTGAATGAGATCACCGCGCAGTTGCCTGTAATTCGTAAGGCAAATGATGAAGATTCTTGACCATCTTCGTAGCCATCGCCTGTACTCTTTCCAGCCGTTGATAATCTTTCTTTAACCACGGTCGCCAGGCCTGGACTGCATACTCTAAGTGAGACCGGACGAATGCCCCATAGGTTTTTCCGAACAGCTCCTTGTCGATCTGCACAAATCCTCGCCTCAGCGCAAATAACACCCTTATCGCACTTTTGGCTGCCCTTTGACACTGTGAAGATGGTTTCAGCGAGGAGGTCATTAGGACGCCCAGGTCTTTCTGTTCCACAACATTTGAAAGGGACTGACCACCAAGGACATATTGAAAGGAATCGTCCTCCTTACTGGTCCGTCTGCAGCGGAGTCTCAGGACCACACATTTGTCCACATTAAAATTGAGGAGCCAGCGAGCTGACCAACTGTTTAGGCGGTTGAGACTGTCTTGAAGCGCGTACCTGTCTGCATCAGATCTGATGGGTCTCCACAGCTTAACATCGTCAGCAAACATGATGGCGCTGCATCCAAGGTCGTCGACGCAGTCGTTAATGTAAACCAGGAATAGCAACGGCCCTAAGACGGAGCCCTGGGGTACACCACATAGAACGGCAGTAGGAGTTGACCTTGAGGCCTCAATGCACACGGTTTGCGATCTCCCGGTAAGAAAATCTGTTATCCATGTCAGCAGCGTTCCTCTTATCCCAATTTCAGAAAGTTTGTAGATTAGGCGTTTGTGTGGGACGCTGTCGAACGCCTTCTTAAAGTCTGTGTATATGACATCAACCCTCCCATCCTCATCCAGTGCGCGAGTCCACTGCTCCGTCGAGAGCAATAAACTGGAAAGACACGAGCGGTTCTGTCTAAAGCCGTGCTGCAGGTCCGAGATTAAATGACCCTGCTCCAGGAACTCCATAGTTGCTTTCTTAACTATGGCCTCCATTATTTTACAGCAGATGCAGGTTAGACTAACAGGCCGGTAATTGTTAGCATTAGTGCGAGCCCCGCCCTTGTATATCGTGTATGGACGACCATAAATCTATCGCTATCAGAACACTGTAGAAAGATGGTCCAGAAGGCAACTAGTACCCTACACTGGATCGGACGTGCATTTAAAATATTACCTCCCGAACTGTACGAAAGACTCCTTGGTCTCTTTGTAAGACCTCATCTAGAGTACGGAATGCCAGCAAGTTTGACCATGAATGAGGAAGGATATCGACTTACTAGAACAGGTGCAACACAGAGCGACAAAGACGGTCGACGGTCTAAAGCATTTGTCTTATCAGGAGAGGCTGAACTTGTTTGGCTTATTACCTCTCTCTTATAGACAAACTGCAGTCTACTTTGGACGTTCCGGATAGTCCGCGGCCAGGGTTGTTCATTACGAGCAGAGGACTTTTTTGAGTTTGCTTATACAAACCAACTACGCGGCCATAAATGCAAAGTCGGGAAAGAACGCACGCGTTTAGACTGACGAAAATTTTCATTCAGCCAGCGGGTCGTCCGACCGTGGAACTCTCTTCCAAGCGTGATGGTGACTGCTGACACAGTCTGCGTGTTTAAAATAAAACTTGCTCTTCTAGTTTTTGAAAGAAATCGGCTTGTACGGCATGACTATGCACAACTAGTAATTACAGCGTTGGCCTTCCCCTTACTGCTTGGGTTCGAATCCAACTGAGGCGCCGAGTTTTTCACAGTAGAGTCAATATGAACAACCAGTTTTGTAAAATCTGTCATATGCAATCCATCAGCACTAATTTACAGTGACCCTATGCACTACCTTCTGATTACGATTGAACTGTGACCGAGCCACATCGTAAATGCCCGCAATTTTATTTTTGATTACGAATCTGCGGAAGCACTGTACATAAACAGGGTCATCAAGGGCTCTGCCTCTAACCCTTCAAATATATAAATACATACATCTAAAAAGATGGAGTTCAACATGGCAGGTGGAGTTTACATCGTCCAACAGTAGTCCCATGTCTATTGGTTCTGCCAAGCTTTCATGAACCATAATTTTACCGGATAACCCACTCTCAGAATGCTTCATCAAAAAGGACCTAGGTTTAAGTTATACAAATATACTTGCTTTGTCCCCTCATGCAGACTGAATTTTCACCAAAGTTGCACAGACACATGGATTCATGTCATATAATTTATCCTATAGGAAATGATGCTAAGTCTTTATCAAATGTTTATTCTTCCTGTCCTCAATTACTGTTGTCCTGTCTTTGGTTTAATGAACTCCTGTGCGTAATAAAATCGACAATATTCAGATAGTTTTCATTCGAAAACTCTTCTCTCAAAGCAGCATCCGGTATTTCTTATACTCATAGGAGTTAGCTGGCTCGAAGCAGACCTACGTTCCCTATTTCGCATTAACTATAACCCCAGTCTTCCGCGAATAGACCCTCACCCCGAGTGAACTGTTTTACGCCAAGCGTAAGTCCTCCATGGTGAATTCACAACCCCATTGCATCACATGTAAGCGGTCTCTCTTTGGTGCATTCAAATATGCCTTCCTTTGGAATAGTCTGCCATCACACCTTAGGTCCTCGCCTAAGGTATGAACAATTAACTCGAAATTGCGCATGCACTTATCGCTGGAAAGTTTAACGTCTCTATTGGCAGTTTCGTGCCGAGCACTCAAATTCGTGGATTTGAAAAGGGTTCCCGCGTGATTTAGTGGTAGATCAAGTGGAAACCCCCACTGATATTCTTACGATTCCCTGTTTTTTATTGGCTGCAAATCCACTGATTATGCCTCCCCTGCAGCGATGATCTGCGCAGTGCTTGATGCCATTTCATTTCGACCTCAAGCGGTCTGTTGACTCTCACGGCGGAATCCACCGTATTCGCCATTTACTAGTAGTTTGGTTGGTTTGAAAAGAGATCTGATGGTTGCATCTCCCTTGCTCCACTCGAAGAGGACTGTAATCGATCGTGTATGGGCTCCCCTTGTCTCGCTACCTTGATGCGAATAGCCACCTCCGGTGTATGAATTCTGCATTGCCGATGTCCGTATCAAATCCCTTATACACTACCACATGAAGATCAGTCCTGGCTGACCCACATACCCACCTTGACATAACGTAATTTTTTCGTCCAGAAGATATCCGTCTAGAATCCGTTACACACTACCACATGCAGACCGGTCCTGCCCGCACTCTTGGCCTTCCATGAGCGGTGGCTTTTTTACCTTAAGGGCTAATGCAATCACATTTGTTTTGTTTATTCCATAAAGGAGTTTTTTCATTGCTGACTAAAAAAATTTCTGATTAGACTGCTTTTCTGATAGGCATGTGTTGAATTATATACGGATTCTGACTGCGTATTCCAAAATTCATGCGCAAAATTACTGTAACCTGCTATTATAGGACCCCTAAGGGTCCTAAATAAAACAATTTATTTGCTAATTTATTATTTATACAAGACAGTGTAAGTTGCGGCTGGACGTCAAGCGATGTTGCTTCACGTGAACTGTTTGCCTTTGGATAGGTTGGCTTTCAAATGTAGGTGGAATTAACGTCTAGTGGGCAGTTCTAGGAAAGCTTAGGATTGAACTAGACAGCATATTGCGTCTGGCCAAGCGGAAAAGGTCGAAGGATGCAAAACCACAACAACAGAAATAAACGGGAAATCCTCCGTATAATATTTAGAAATCCCAACTCAATAATCATGATAGGCCTCGGTATTCAATTCTCCGTTGTCAAAACAAATGATCAGTCGTTTCGCTTTTACACGAACATAATCTTCGCTAGAGACATTAAACAAATCATATGGCTAATGCAAGCAGAAAGCCTTAACATGAACATAACCCTAATCCAAAAGTCTGCACATAACCACAAACGTAGCCCTAAATCAAACCCCAAACCTAACGTCAACATTAGCTCTAACCCTTAACGTAAACTCGTAACATAAACCAAACATAATCCTATACCTAGTCGCTAAAACCAGACCATCCCTAACCGCAGATGTAACATTTAACCCTAACTCAAACCGTAACGATAATACCAGACCTAACGCTAACCCATAACTTTAACCCTAACCCTGAAACTAACTCCAATCCCCGACCCTAGCCCCAACCCTTACCCGGACCATCATCCTAACCCTAACTAAGCCATGACTAATCGTCGCAGGAGATTTTTTCGTGAATCAAACATTTGCCAGACCCTACCCCTAACTCCTAACTTAGGTCCCACCCCAATCCTCACAGTAACACAAAACGCTAATAGACTTAGAATTTCGCGTGAATTAGCCGGCTTAAAGTTACACCATCCAGCGCCATTGAAGTGAGCCACGAATATTCCAAGAATAGTCGCGGAAAAAGTAACAAATCACCGAACAGATATTGGTGACCAATAAGGAACGCGTGGACACTGGCGACCCTATAAGATTTCTCCCGGGACCAGGCCAGACTGTTCCTCCCACTCCGGGGCACTTGGTCGCATATTTTGAATATATCCACTCACCCGGGGCTGAATTAATGCTAATAGATAAATCCTGTCAAAATTGAATCTTTTAAGGATGTCTGGTGCAAAAGTTGGACGTTTCCAGGGCCTTCGACGTCGACTCTTTTCGGAGTCCAGCGTTGACAAGGAATATTTCAAAAAAAACATTGAACAGCAGCCAGTCGAGGATATTACCCTTAACATATTTTATCAGTCACGCTCAATAACCATCCTGGTTTTAATAGTTGCCGCATTAACATGGGTCGCATTCACGAGGTAGGTCTATACCTAATTTATACATATTTTGTTGAAAGATCTACTGACCATCCCTTAGAGGATGATTTATTCCATGGCGCTCTTTGTGTTATCGCAGTGTTCCTGATTATATCCGTCATGATAATGCCGAATGGTAAGTTCACTTATTTTCTGGTTTTGTTTTCATCGCGATATTCGTCTATTTTTCGTGGACCTTTACTGTTAACGTTCGTACGGACAGTTCATCGCTTATCGACTCACGGGCACTGACTTACGTGGAATAAAGTATCTTGACCAGGAAGTCTGTCTCCTTCGAAAGCTATGTGTTCCAGGTCTGTCCGAATTAATTGGTAGTTGTAAGGTTAGCTAAAGACATCGCAGTTTTTACACTATATGGAAGAGGCATTTACTACATGTACTTTCGAATGTCCGAAATTCATTAAAGTTGCCGCAAACTAACCAAAATTACTGCCTCACCCATATAGTCCTTCCCAATCGAGAACGCATCTCAGTATTTTGGTTAACCTTACATGGAGTTGTCCACCGACCCGATGTAGTGAGACGCCTGTGAGCTCTCTTCGCGGGTGTATGTAGGCTTATGCATTAATGTTCTTGTATTTTGTCAGCTGCATTGAGGATCAAACATCAGATCAAGCATTCGCTTGAACTTGTGACCGATATTTTTTTCCTTGGGAAAATATCTCTCCATTGACAGTCGGGAGACGCCAACTGTCCGCCTGTCTAGGTTACAATGGGCGTTGGCATCACTGCTATCGCATCTTTTGACATTTAGTGTTACGCCCGTTCCTTGTGTTTTAGGACCGTTCACGCGGCCTCACCCCCTCGTTTGGCGCGTGGTTTTTGGCGCAAGCCTCCTCTACTTCCTCAGTATTGTGTTCGTTCTGTTTTTGCGACTGGAGGACGCTCGCAAGATACTATTCTACCTGGACCCGGCGCTAAGGAAAATGCGGCATTCCGACATACTAGACAAGGAGTATGCGGTCAATTGTAGTCAGGTAATGTAACTCACTCCTATATCCGTTCGTTCACCCTTCCTCCTAACGTCCTCATGTTTATAAATCTTCTCCCTCTAAAGCTTGTCGGCTTTCATGCTTGTCTTGTAAAATGCTGAAAGAATTCCCCGGATATCTGTATCGGGACATTGCGCATTCCAAACTCTTTTTCAAGAAGGACATTACGTGAATCCTTCTGACCGCAATTACAATCGTCTCCACTTTAGTTGTCCGAAACGTCAGATGAATGTAACGCGCATGCATAGCAAGTGAAGGACTAACAGGCTCATCACAGCCTGACCGATCCGATGTTACCCTTATTTTCATGAAATGCAACAGTAGCGACGGGAATGTTGCCCGTAATCCTGTAAGGCTTCGTAAATCGTCCGGTAAATCCTGGAACTTTACGTTTCTGTGCCGAATGTGAATAAAGACGTCCGCCTTTGAACCCAGGTCCTACCAACAAATTTCTACACGAGGTCACTTCACGCAGCCTTGTCCAGCAAGCCATATCTTCACCGAATTTTTTGACCAGTGGCACTGTAGTACGCGCGCTCGAGGGGGATTTATCCGGTATGACTCATGCGGAATTGAGCGGTTTCCTGCTGAACAGCAGTAATTTATTGTTGGTTGGGAGCCTGCAGCCGTCATGCATGTGACTGTATTGTCTGTACGGATCTGCCTTCAAATATATATGGATTTTGATGGTTTTCCGACTGCATCAGTGGATGCTGACTATATAACCAGCCCTATTTTCTCTCTTAAGGTGGATCTCGCTCGGGTCTGGTCCCACATGGACGTGTTCGCCTTCGGTCACTTCTTTGGTTGGTTGATCAAAGCCATCCTCCTGCGCCACTACTTTATCCTGTGGACCCTGTCCATCAACTGGGAGATCACGGAGGTGAGCTCCAACCGGGGTTTCTATAGCTGCTATGTCTCCATGTTTCCTTTGACCACATCAGCTTTGATATCTTCCCTGAGGTCTGGGCCCAACCCTTTTTCCTCCGTCTCAGCACAATATGTCCAAAGCAGAAGAAACCGATTTCACCTCCCTCCCCCGATAGTGCGGCCACGATAACTTGCGTGGAAATTGTATTATAGCGTGAGAGACGTGCGCAACATCAGCCTTAACACCACTCCGAATCAATGAGATTGAGCACAATGGTTGTCCGGGCACAAGGACCATGTCTAAACGATTGGTTTCTCACCACGAACTAGCCCCGCCTCCCACACACAAAGATATTCCAAGTGCCGTCGGCTGCCAGCAGAGGCAATTAATGGGAATGTGACTGCTGCGATCCACAAAGCATTTTGGATTTACAAATGAGGAATATGTTTTAAGTTGGGTCAACGTGGAATAATTACGTCATACACCAAAGCATCTAATGTGTCTGTCAGTCCACCAAGGTAACTACCCGTCCCCCTGGGCACGCTGCATCCCCCAATAGTTAGTCCGTCGCCAACGATGAGGTCCACAGCCGTCCCACCAGGTTTGTTTAGTCCTCACGTGTTCGTAGAATGACGGATGTTCACTGCATCCACCTCTTTCTATATTCCCGCACCCATCGTCTTCCAATGGCAAACTTAAGTTAGGACGACCTGAGGTGAGTGTGGGCGCAGTGGCTGACAAAACTGAACAGTCCATCGACTTGTGCCTTCATTCAGCCAACGACAACCCTGATCACGATTTGGGATCGGAAAAACAAACGTGCAGACACACCTGGCGCGGCTGGTCAACCTCTGCGGTCTATCAGATGGGTCATAAGCACCTCATCGAGCCGAAGTTCACCAGTGCTTCGCCATCTGTCACCCTCTACCTCCAGACTCTGTCGTCTTCCGTTTGCTATCGGAGTTTGGCTGACTTCAGCCTGGTAGGTGGCTGCCTGTTCGTGACCCGGCAACTACCTTACGCACTCAGCTTCTACACCCTAAGGACAGGGTTGACTACCTCGAAAGAAAAGGTTTTGTCTACAAAATCCCATGTTCTAATTGTGATGCCGTTTATTGCGGCCAAACTGGGAAATCTGTGTCAACCCGTACACATGAGCATCAGTTAGCGGTGAAGAAACGCGATCATCTATCCCAGGTGGCCATGCACACACTGGACACTGGGCATAAATTCGCATTGTTGACGCCTGCCCAACAAGGAAAGGCCGCGAATTCCTGGAGGCAATGCACTCAGAAAAGGCATGCATCAACCGGCATATCGATTTAGATGCCACATACAAAATCGTTAAGGACAGATTCAAACTGACTCAACCAATCGCGAGATGATCACCTTAACCAATCATAGAATCCTTTTGCCGGACTCAGTCTAGAAGTTAAGCGTTTTTGCGCGCCCATTGTCTGGAGACGAGCTGGGGAACCAGTCTCGAAAATTCACAATAAAATTTTCCTGTTTCCCAAAGAACTTCACCTTTCGTGAGAAAGATCGGTGAGCGCCCCCTACCATTACTAGTGGTATTTTCGTGCCCAAATCCACGGTAAAATCGGCCTCACTTTCGCTTTCTCGTCGACTATGCACCAGTGATGAGATCGGACTCAATGCCTGGTGTGACGTGAACGGCCCCGTTTGCGCATGTCTTATGCACTAATGACAGTAGTTTAGGACCCCTTGACTTAACCAACGCGTGCCCTGAGTCATCTGTCATTTTTTGGTTCAACGCAGCAAGTACGGTTCTGCCTATAAGGCGGTCCAACCAACTGCAGGATGACAGGAAAGCAAAGCGAAATAATGCGAAAACCGGGTTGATCGGGCGAGCAGAAGTGCTGGTTAAGCTGTCAGGCAGGTATCAGACGAAGGAGAACCACTTGTTATGCTTTCATCTGAAGACATCCTGTGCAAGGTTCTGGCTTAGTTGTAGGACAATCTGCTGGGAGGTGCGTTGTCCGATTTCCAGTTCAAGATATGTAGTATTTTGTCTGTCTGAGAAACACTTCCTTCAACAATGGGTTTTAAACACAAATTGAGCTCATTACTGTCTGGGCAACATTTCTACCGAATTCGCATAAAACATGTTTTAGTTGGTACTTTTCGCGCGGGAATGACATTCATTGAAAAGGCGTTTCGCCTTTTTACAGCCGAAGGCAGCGACACTGAAGGCCGGTAATCGAGAGGTTTGCTGGTGAAAAGTGAGGCTGGAATGACCATCCTTGGACTTCTTGCTGTTGTTAGTAAATCACAAGGCCATTTCTGAGTCGATATTTAAACCTGATCTGTAGACCTTTACATTTGGGCCACTTCGTTCCCTTATTTTTGTGTCTTTAAGTCCATTACTCGTTCGCTGTCAATCTTTATGGAGCCGTCCCTGCGCATGCTCTAGTACTAAATTCGAAAGTAGAGGGTTTAACGCACATGTGATCAGAATAGATTGATGATGCTTATGTTCACTCGCCGATCTCAGCCGACAGAGCGTAGTCTAGCCGTAAGGAACCGGGGGTGGGGGACGGGGGAGGGAGGGGTTGAAAAATCCCGAGTTCATGTTGTCACCAAACCTCTCCTTCAATGACTGTCTTAGTTAAACTCCAAACACCATGGAAAATAAACCCAGTTCCACAAAATAGGCTTGTTTTTAAACGGTGTCTAGCACAGTTCAGACGTGTGTTAGAGACTGATGTTAGAGACCGATGATGAAGTGAGCACGCGTGTGCCCTCATGCTGCACACCCGTACCATATTTGCCTTGGATTGGAGAGTCAAGTTCACCTTATATCTCACCTTTGTGACTGTCGTCTGCAACGAGGTTCATGGCAGTACACCTGCTTGGTAGTCCTTCATCGACTGTCTGGCGCACCAATCCTTAATTACCTGCGAGGTTGGCATCCGCTCTGGCGGATTAGAGGGGATAATCGAACACGCTCATCTAGAACGGTAAGGCGCGACATAACAGTCTTCCTTCGTCCTCTTTAACCAAAGTTGTCGCAGTATGTGAGTATATTTACCACGCAAACCGGACCACGCACTAGATGCGCTGAATCAAAACGGGGACTAGATTGGAGTCCGATAGACGTTATCGAGAATACGGACAACATTTGGGGTGCGGTGGCAGGCCCAGTTGCTGCCTTACGCCACGCCAATGAGGATCGCCCATATTTGTTGCTATTGAAAATCCTGGGCAAGTGTTTTTTGTGGACCAGTGATGTGGTGATACGCCTAGGTGCGTGTTTACGCCGTGCCCGCCACCTGCGACCTCTCCCGCCTACGGTCTTCTTGACTCGGTCATGACACCGGATCCAGGTGGGGAGGAGGAGAGGGCCCGGTGGATGCTGCGCAAGTCTACCATCACTATAAACTAGTCTACGCACAAGTCACCGTTTCTGCTCTCACCCTGCTTTGGAGCACACGGTGAACATCGTGGCAACCAACGATCGAACTGTCATATGAGTGCAAATCGTTTTAAATAGGTATGTGCGGGCAACTGCGACAGTCCGAGGTCAAATGACCACCTTAGCCAGGCGTAAGTTTGACAGATTTTGCCAGCGTCCACATGCGCGTTAGTAATTTCGCCGTTACGGCAAGGCTGGGGATGTCTGACCGGGTCCGTCCGAATCCCCTAATGTACGTGAACAGTGTCGGCATATGGGTAGGCCCAGATTCGTCTCGCCTCTTCACCTTTCTCTTCATATCCCTTGGTGTCCTATATTCTCTTTCGTTCGGGGTTTGCTGCCCCGGATTTCACAGTAGACTGTCGAGTGCGTCGATTCTGCCCGAGTATCTGTATATTTTTGAATGATTTGAAATCATCTATGTGGAACTACTGCAGTTTCTTTTTGTTCCCATTGATTTCGAGTTTCTTTAGGAACACCAATGTAAGGCAGTACTTTGACAGGAACTATTCTGTCCTCAAATCGGCACCATCCTTTGAATCACCGACGTAGGTCGTGGGCCATGGCCGTCACCAATCAGGCCTTTGACAACCGACGTCTTAATCGTACCCTCTGCTCGATTTTACCGAATGCCACCTCAGTAGACGAGTTCCAATCATCTTCGAAAAGACTCAAAATATAGGAAGCAACGAGGCGGTTAAGTTTCAGAACGACACTGAGACGCTTGTGCGGGATACAGGTGTGACTAGGGTATACTTCAAACCAGTTGTTTACAGGTGATAATTGCGACTATGCGTCTATCTCTTCACACCTTGACCGCTTAATTGCGGCCTGAGCACTAACTCCACGCGCAGCATTATGCTAACGTTGCTGTTTTCTCATCTTTCCATGTGACGGGCTTAGCGGGTGTTGACGAGCGTAATCAGCACTCAGCAGTGGCGGTTACCTTCAATCTATCAACTAGTTACACTCCAGAAGCTAAGACTCCAAGTTCGCGCATTACTTCCTTCGGAAATTAAACAAAGCAGGGTAAAACTGGACTTCACATACCAGAAAGCACACGGGGAAGGCTGGGGGACCCACTGATGGATCAAACCTCTCGCAGCTGCGTCAGGCAGCGGCACAAGATTGGCGAAACACGCGTGTCGGGGCTTTTAGCTAGTACCTGTCATGCTGACTAATGACCTATTAGCTCTTTCAACTTATCTGGATGCTACAGAACGCAGTCTTTTAACAGACGCCACTGAGACAGCCATGAATAAATAAACAAGTCGTTTTATTTAGCACCCATATGGGTATCGTCATGGTAAGTAAACATATATTTTGGGTAAATTTTAGCACGAGTAGCAAACACTGTACAGTGTTCATTTTGTGCTCATAAACTAGGCAGTCTAATTTGAATGACGGTTAGTGAACGGTAAAAACTCCCTAAAATGTGGTTAAAAAAGACAAAATGGATGCGATTCGATTAGTTTTTAAGGAGAAGAAAGGACTGTCGCACATGGAAATGTAAATTTGCATGTAAGACGGGGCTGCCATGCAGGTGAGAGTATATAAGGGTTCCAAAGGTTCTACGACGAGGTGGAATTCCTAAACCGGATAAGTCTGTTCGTCACAAATACGATCTTAATATTTTTCGGATGACAGCAGAAGCAACAGCCAAGGCGGCGAGGCAGAAGAAACCCACCGTGATTGCTCAGGGTCCGCCCAAAGTCCAAGCGAGAGCCATTAAAGCACGAGGAGATGCGACCATGATACTTCGTTGTTGATCGACCAAACTACTAGCAGGTGGCAAAAACAGAGGAATCCATTGTGATCGTCTTGGGGTCAAAATGAGATGATACTAAAAACTGCTAAAATTATCTTTGCAGGGGAGAAGTAATAGCAGTGAATATGGTATCTAATAAAAGACAGCTTATAAGAATCCAAGTGACAGTTTTCATTTGAACCAGCCAAGCATGTTATTTTCTGCCATTAAGTCCCAGGAGGGCCCTTTTCCAGGTCTAGAAATTGAGTGTTTGAGGACGAAGCGCTCAATAATGACGTTATGCCTTCCGAGATAAGATGCTTATGTAATATTGATCTGGATGCCGATAGTTTCGCTGATGACCTGATTTCTAGTGAAAGAATATTCCAACAGTAGGCATACTGGGATGCACAAAAGAGGGACCGTTTAGAGGCAGAGCATGGCGGAATACCCATGTAGGCTTTATTTGCCAGGTTCTTCGTAGCAGCGGCTCACGCTCCCCAATACTGTCTTTTTAGCATGCCATCTCTTGTCCTCGGTTCATTTTCTCTTCCTAAGCCTGCTGACAATAACAATTTCGTTTTTTCAGAGATATCTCCCGCCAGACTGACTTTTCGTCACTCACACCTTAAATTGTTTATCGCGAACCCGCTAATCTCAAGTGCAACCTTGACCCTATCTCTAGCCTTAAATCGGACTGTAATCCCAACCTTCGTCTTAGTCGTAGCTTCAGTCATAACCGTAACCACTGCAAGCGAAATCTCGGCGCGTTCTGGCGGGAAGTTCCACTAAGCCAGTCAGTCATCCTCGTCCTCTGATTCGTTGTGCTGCTGTTGTGGTTGGTTAAAATCCTGGTCAAATATTTGTAACGAACCAGGGGGTGTTGAGTGGAGCGCCACGGTACAGGCTCGACCGCGCCATCCATATTTGCCCTTCCCCGGCTTCCGGTCTTCTTGACTCTGTCCTGACACCGGACTCGGTTGGGGAGGAGAGAATGCGGTAGATGCAGCGAATGTCTACACTCACTATGCTCAAGTCACCGTGCCTGCTTCACTTTTCTGTAAAGCACGCGATGAACATCGTCGGTTTCGATGGTCGAACTGTCAAGTGTCGTGCGAACACCTTAAAATGAACACTATTCTTTCTTCCAAGGAAATGGACGCTTCGTTGTACTAGAATGTCGATCCTGCCTGTGGCACAAACTTCGCGGTCAAGAGCACTCTGTAACAATCGAGTTAGCAGTTCATAGTGAAGCCACCTTGAATGAGATCATCCACCCATCTAAGTGGTTTTCACTTTGTTTTTATTGCAGCTGACTTTGTGATTAGTATTCATGTGTCTGGCGGCACTCATAGGGGCCTAGACTTTAAATAACCATCTTGGTGTTCTGGGTTTGTACCTACCCTCTACCCCAGGCTGCAATGATAAAAGGTGTTTATTCGTAACGGATTTTCTGTTTGACAAACCTGTCGAACCGTAATCTGAATGGATTTAAATGATATGAGATACAACACCATAATGATGCTCAGAAAGAAGACTTTGCAGACCAAAGTCGTGCAAGTGAAATGACTACAAATATTTTGGAAAAAAACCCAGGTGCTCGAGAGGTATCAGCCGTCAGGAGGGGCGGGTTGATTGTCGTATCGAATACATGAGATAAGTAATGCCAAACGATTTTGTGCCCTTGGCAGAGTTGAATAATTCACTTGACGCAATTGGGAAAAACTCGAAGACCTCGATGGGATTTCGCACCCAGTACAGTCAGGGTAAGGTTCAGTACAGTCAGCGCCCTAGCCACATGAACTACTAGGTCCCGACCATGGTCCATGAGCCCAATCCCATTGGGGTCGAGTTACCCGCGCAGCCGACTAAAACGCAACGAATCCACCGGTTCTGATGCGGTAAGCTGACCGCTGACTGACGGACAGCTTTGGCTGCACACAGGCCGTGCCCTCGCCGTCGTGGGTTCGAATCCCGCCGAGGCCGCGAATTTTTCACAAGCAGGTTAAGGGAATTCGTTTTGTGGCAGCTTGGGGGAATTTGTCAGCGGCAGCTACAGTTACCATTTTAATAACAGCCTTCTTAATGACCCAGGTCAGTGTGGCACACTTAATTGCGTATTCAGGAAAATAACCAAGCGAAGCCAGAAGTTGCCAAAAGAAGTAAACAATGCGCACATAACCGTTCACCTGCTGATGAGAAACACAGCAGATTTCTGGAATAATGGGTGAAATCAAGTCAAAAAGTATGTGGTGACTGAGTTGGAAAAAAGCGCCATACGGCAGGCTTCCTCCTTTTCGTACCCTATGACAGTTCGACCGTGGATTCCAACGATGTCCAGTGTGTATCCCACTCCCCACTTTCACCCGTCTGGGGCCGGTGTCATGACAGAGTCAAGAAGACCGGAGCGACTGTAGCTGACGCCGCGTGGACTTGCACCTAGGCGTGCCACCACACCTCCTCCGTGTGTGACGTTTGTCATAGCTGCACATCCCCAAATAACTCCTGCCGTGCCCTGATCAGGCTCCCTTATTGGCCTAGCGCGTCTACCGCGGAGCTCGTTTTTGGGGCGCTCACCGGTCGTTCTTACGGATCTCACTCGTTCCGTTGTGCCTTACGGGCTCTCTCTCGAGCCCAACCAGCGGCCGCACAGCTGCGCATTGTACAGGCGGAATGGTATTACAGACAAAGACAAGGGCGACTGGAATGGCCATTTCTGGCTGTCGTCAGCTAGTAATATCCAACCCGAAGTATGGAACACCCGAGGCTCGAACTGGCGACCTATTTGTTAGAAGTCAACGCCCCTAACCGCTGGGCCACAAGCCCGTTGTCCTGGCCATTCCAGTCTCCCTTGTCTTTGTCAGTAATAACATACTGCATTATACTATACACACCTGGCCATACCTTTAATATTAGCGGTGCATCTTGTGTGCTGAAGTCGACTGAGGTTGACCGGAATGCCATTTCTCTGTGCCGTAATTTGGTCTTGTTATTCACGCGGGCATTCTCTGCATAAAGTAATTAACAGGGACAGTAATATGCGATTGGTCAAATATTGGATTTTCCCAAAAGGCAGTTGCCAGCGCATGCCTTTTTTAACTACCAACTGTCTGTCTTCTCGATTGCCCTACCAAAGGACGCCTTGTGGACCCCACGTCGGACGATAATAATTTACTGTCCAGCCCCAGTTTGCCATTCCTTAATGTTTATCTAAACTGCTGCACCATTGACCGAAGGTCACCAGTACTTCATGCGACCGAGCCGCACTTTACAAGTACATTTCAAGATTCGGTCAAGTGAAACCAATAGGTGCGAAATCCTATTCTACACAGGTACGGTTACTGGAGCACACTTTCTTTTGAAGAAATATCCTCTCTTGTTCTCCGAGCCGGCCCTCTTTCTGTTCCCCCTTCCTTTTGGGCCATAACACCGTGGCCGATAACGTTTGCCATAATGAAGCGTTCAGAATTTTACCTTTTGGTTAGTTTTTACACCCTTACAATATGTATTTTTGCCTCATCCCCAGATTGCCTTCTCGCACATTCTTCCCAACTTCCAAGAATGCTGGTGGGACAGTATCCTTCTCGACATTCTGCTGTGCAACGGTTTGGGTATTTGGGTGGGAATGCTTTTTTGCAAGTGGTTTGATGCCCGCAGCTACGAGTGGGAATCAATTCGGGATATTCGTTCTACTCGAGGAAAGCTCAAGCGTCTAGTCCTCCAGTTCACACCCGCGAGGTGAGTATCCTTCAGGATCGTTCTGTACTATTGATCGTAATACAGTGTTGATGCATGTGTTTTTGTGTTCTTCTTTTCTAGTTGGACGCCGACCCACTGGCTGGATCGCAGTTCTACGATTAAACGAGCCCTTCAGCTGAGCATATTGATAGTTTTCTGGCAGCTGGCTGAACTAAACGTATTCTTCCTCAAGCACATCTTTATTGTGAAACCCGGCCACTGGCTTACCCAACTTCGTATCGGCATAATCACGCTGTCCTCCGCACCGGCTATTCGGTATCTACCGTTGATAACATAACCTTGTTTACTTACAAATTCGTAGTAGGCATTCTGATGCACATTTTTAGACCGCCCGACGCTCTGTAATCCATGGCGTCTTTTTTTCTAGGCAGTTCTATCATTACGTCACCGATGACCGGGTTACACGAGTCGGTTCTCAGATGTGGATATTCACGTATGTTGTTGTACTAACTCAAGCCCCCCATCTCTCCCGTTTCGTCTGCCCTCCACTTCTACCCGACTTCAACATTACTATCCCCTTTCCAGCTCTACGCTACTTGTGGAAGCTCTGGTATGCTTCAAACTTGGTCGCGAGGTGTTTGAACACACTATATTGTGGAACGTCGTGTACTGGTTAATCTGGCTGGTAAGCGTGCCGATAGCACAATCACCTGTTTGCATTTAGCCTTAAATTTCAGTTTTTCAATTCCTCCCGAAAATAATTGCTAGATTGGAGTAAATCATTCGCAATTAAGCGTCATAAGCTCAGTTCTAAGGCTGGTATGAATATTTAGGTCCAAACCGATCAGCTACAGCGCAATAAGCGTGTAGTACTTATAAACTACCGACCGGCAGTAGTATTTGCATGTTTTATGATTTACCGTACGAACAGCACACATGCTAGCCAAAAGTCCAGACACGTGTTTCGCCTATGTTCCGCCGCTGCGAGAGGTTCGCCTTATCAGTGGGTCCCCAGCGTTTCTCGTGTGCTTTCTGGTAGGCATTCCAGTTTTAAAACGTCACCTGCGGGATATTGTAGGAGAAATACGTGTCTGGACCCGTCATAGCAGTAAGGTAAATCAAAAGACATGTGGTCTAAAAATCTGCTCTCTAATAATTTGCTAAGACACGAATTCTAACCAACAGCCAAGATGCAGACAATCGCCGAGACGTACAATTTATTCACTTAAACCGCATCTTTTACGGCCATCGGTGATGGAGGCCCACTGATCAGCCACTCGGGCGTGACCCATCAGACAGCTTCTAGCGTTCTCTCCGAGTGCTCCGCGATCGATCATCCTAACTTGGTCAGCAAATAATTATCTCTCCAATTACAGTCATCCGCAATGCATATTCAACTATCAGCGACTTAATCGTCTCCTGTCGGTCGCTGGGCCTCGGTAGGCATAGCGAACTCGTCCTGTGGATACTTCCTCTTCTGTGTGTTTGTGTCCTCGTGAATTCAGGGCGTCATAAGAGTAAAGCTTGCCTCCCGCCAAGTTAGTCTATGCTCCTCCTACAGTCTTCTTTTTTCTCCCACCAACCCCCCGTCCAGGTGATCAGCAGTTTCCTGACTGTCTTTGCTAGCCTCTGGTTTGCGCAGAGATTTGGAAAACCACAGCATGCAGAGGAAGAAACCGCGTCTTCCAAGATCCCCCTGAGTACGATCTACCAACGGGATACGGAGTCGGATGACGAGGTTGTGAGTTCTGCCCCAAAGTTTTCTACTCTTTTTTTAGCATGGGACAGAATTAGGCGCAGAAGGACTTTCTTTCACAAATGCCTATTCTCGCATGTAGTTGGGATTTTCCAAAGTTTCCCATTTACATTCCTGTAGACGGTTTGATTGCGTGCACACTGCTATGCTTGCGGAGTGTATTTTCTCTGTTTTCATGGACACTTGCAGGCTGTTCGCCGCAGGGGAGACACCAGTCTGAATGTGAACTCGGTGGACCTGCCTGCTCCTCCGGTCGTCAACAAGGAACGTCGGAAGGATCAATAGCCACAACCAGCACTGTCATTGTTGCCAAAGTTACTTCTTAGCTTTGTATTGAAGTTACTGGTTTTACGTCGTCGTCATCTATCCAGTCCGACCGACCTTCCCCTTTCAGAAGGCTCCGCCTCCCATTGTTTGACCTCTCAATTTTGTAGGTTTTAGCCACCTACTCTTTCTCGTTGCCCGTCCACTACCCGCCAGGTCCCACACATTCTCCTTTTCCCCTTGTGTGTTTTTTGTAGGCCTCAGACTCTTTACTCCCGCCATGCTATCGTGCGTGAGCGCAAGTTTTTTGCCGCGCAAATATATTCCACAGTGGCTTGTGTG